ATTGTTACAACATGTGAATTTAGGACCCAACACACCCATCTCATGATAATCATTGTTATTCATGAACATTTTCATCTCCTTAGGCCCTTGAGAAAAAAAAAAAAAAAAATCCCTCCCCTTTTATCTTCTTGAGACAAAATACAATTAAAGTCCCCACCAACCACCGAAGAAATATCTTTGGAAGAAGCCAATTCCAAGGTATTCCATAAAGTCCTTTTATAAATATCTTTACTACCATAAATAAATAATAGATGTTAACCAAACTCCTTTATCTACCACATTATGTTTTGCAATAACAACTTGAGAGATAGCCTCAATAACAGAAAAAGAAGCCAAGTTAGATCTCCAAAAAACCATAATATACCATCAGAAGGAAATAGAAAAAAATCCCAATCCACACTCATAAATCTATAGACTTCCAACCTATAAATAAATGATTTTTTTTCCACAAGAACCACAAAAAACACATCATGATCTTTCAAAAACTCCTTTAGATACAGAGAGGTTTTTCTTTTTTTAGCCCCTCTAAAGTTCAAAAACACAATGGAGGTCATTAAGAAATTAAGGGAGAAGAACCCCCACTCCTTTCCTTATTCACCACTTCCATCTTCCTATTAAGAGGGAGAACATTTACTGGGCCAAGGGATTTGAGTTCCTTTTGAAGTTTAAATTTTGAAGAAGCTAAACTACCCTAAGCTGACACACACCATTCTGATTAGAAAAATTCAGCTTATTAACAACATTTTTCCCCAAAATCGATAAATCTTTGCCAGCTTCTCCCACTTTAGAAGTATCATCACAACTCCCACTTAACACATTGATAACCTGCTCTTTAGTATTGTCTTCCATGCTAAAGCTCTAAATATGCTCAACTCCCAACTACATCTTTTTTGGAAAAATAGAAATATTCCATTTCAAACATAAGAGGTTCTTTACTAATCACACCTTTAGACTTTGTATTAATCGCATCAGAATCTCTTGCAATAGTGGAAACAGACTCCTTTAAATTACAATAATTTATCAAATGACCAGTTTTTCCACATTTAAAAGAAAATTGTAGAAATTTTTTCATACTCAAGCCTTCGAAAAAATCATCCAGACGAACCTTCAACCCAAACACCCAAAGGAAGCTGTTTGTCTAACATGACACAAACACAAACTCTAGCATATTCTCTCCTTCCCCATTGAAACATATTATCATCAATCAATAAAGGTGTTCATACTATGGATGCAATTCTTGTCACATTTATCTCATCCCATCATTACAGAGAAAGATGTGGCCTTTTTATCCAAATTGGAGATGACAAGTCCCTCAAAGATGTAGGTGAAAAGGTAGGAGTCCACTTGTCAATGCCTACTATATAGCTATTTACATACCAAGGTCCTTTTGATAATACATCCTCCATAGCTTCTACTGAATGAAAAGAACATAGTACCCATCCTAATCCAAGAATTGTAAGATGAAATTTACCAAATTGCAATCATTGGCGATGTAATTCATCAACAATAATCTGAATCGGAACATCTTTTCCAAATACTTTAACTATTACAGAAAACTGTAGCTTATCCTTGTTAGCAGCTTCATTTGCCTCACATAGTTTCACAGCCACTCCATCCTCTGAAAGAAATGATTCACCTTTGGAAAAATTAACCTTGATGTTTGGCCGTTTGGATCATGGTTTAATAGGAGGAATATTAACAATTCTTCCCTTATCATTATCTACCCCTGCTGCAAAATTTGTATCCAGATTTCCTTTACGAACATTTGGACAAACGCCTGAAGCCTTAATGGCATCAGTCCTACCAGACAACTTCTCCTTATACGATTTATTATCAATGTCAACCATAGGACTATCAGATTTGCCATTCAAATTTCCAAACCCATTTACGTAAATCTTCATCCCCGATGACGATGAAGCTTCAAAATCAGGAGATCTTTCCATAAGAGAAAATCCAATGGATGAACGAGGGGTTTTCATAATCGATACATTATCAATCGATTTACCCTTGCCAATCACAAGAGAGACAATTTTATCTACACAAGCCAGGCAGAAGTCGGATCTCTTTTATCACCAATGAGCCTTCTTTGAGGAATGATAATCCCTCGACGAAAATTATTAGATCCAACTTCTGCGTGAGAAGCAGATGGAGCAATCACAGCAGAAGTTTGGCAGCCTGAAAATGGGCTTTGCCGCCATGACTGAGGATTCCACCAAAAAGCGGAAGGAGAAAAGTTTGAAAAAAAAGGAGGTTTTCCACTCTAAAAAAAGGGGAGTTTCTCACTCTAAAAAAGGGGATGTTTTAGTATTTTAGGTGTAGTTTTAAAACAATATAAATGTTTTAAAAATTTAATTATTTGATCGGATGAAAGTAAATCCAAAGAAATTTGCTGATGTATTTAGAATTCACATTTTAATTCATTGATATGTATTTCAAAATGGCCCAACTGGGTGATTTTCATTTGTGGCAACTGAGATGCAATCAAATTCCTTCATCAAGCAAAAATAGTACATTTGAACAAAGAAATGGTCTCATACTAGTTATTCTCAAATCAAACAAGTACTAAACACTGATGAGAAGTAAACCAAAGGGCGACAATCCAAGAGAAGCACAAACCAACTCCTAGGAGGACATAAAAGCAAGGTGCAAGCCTAATAGTATCAATCGCTTTGATTCATCGTTAGCCAAGTTAAGAAAAATTCTAAGGGTCATAGGGTCTACCAAGTTGAATCAAACATAGAAAAAAAAAAAAAAAGGTTTTTGTAAGCCCTGATACATCGTCAAAAAATTATATTGATCAAGCACGAATCTCGAGGCAAAAGCTAGTTGGAAACTTTAAAAATTAAATCCGGAAGCACCCGAACTCCAATTTCAGCGAGCTTACAGTCAAACTAAGCGTCTCGGAAATACGAACCCAACTACACCAAGTTCAACCCAATCCGAGCCCAAATGGGTCCGAATCATGGACCCGAAGCGCTGTTGGAAGGTTCAAACCGCAATTTGAGATACCAAACGATCTCCGATTTTAACGAGCTTATACTCGAATCGAACGGCTCGACGAGATGAATCCAACGAGCCCAAGATCGCCGAATTCCGACATCTCTAAGACCTTCAAATGTCCAACGAACGGTGCACGATCGTAGGATTCGATATCAACCGTCCATTCAACCACTCCCTATTCGCCCCTGATCTCACGCCTATTTACGAGCTATACCACTCCAGAAAATCTATAAATAGAGCCCTCATTCTTCACAAGAGGGGATCCAAGCAAGAAGAGAAGAAGAGAAGAGCAGGAAGAAGCTCCTACTCGACCGCCGCCGGAACATCGCCGGACCACCGCCCGAACATCGCCGAACCACCGCAGGAACCTCGCCGGACCACCGCCTCAAGGCCCAACGTTCAGACCCGACGTCCTGCTGAAGACCCGACATCCTGCTTAAGGCCCGACGTTCTGCTAAAGGCCCTACGTTCTACTCAAGATCAGACTATCAACACCCGAACTTCCAAGTGACACCGGGTCTAACACCTGATTCCTATCGAACAGTTACTAATTGTAAATCTGATCGCCCTTAGAGGGGATTCAGTTCCTTTGTAACTGACTCAAAGTCTAGTGGAAATATTTTCAACTGGGCTAGGCCCCGTGGTTTTTCCCCTTTTCAAGGGTTTTATACGTAAAAAATCTTGTGTTCTCTGTGTGTGTGCTAGATATCCGTGCAAAGCTAAGACGTATAGTTAAAACTCTATCGCCATGTATATTCAAGCCCGCAACAAGCCCAATGGTCAGATATTACTGATGTTATAGACTCAACAAGTCTAAATATGATCGAGTCGCCAGCCATTATTAAAGTTAAAAAATCCAATGGAACCATGGTGATAAGTGGTGCAATGAGCCCAATAGCAACACTAGTCCTCTAACCTTTTTGGTAAAATTAATAAGCTCCAAGAACCTATATCAAAGATGACTTCTGAAGAATTTGTGAAGCCTCAACTAAGCCAAATAACTTCTCTGTTTTATTAAGAGCATTGTCAATGATTGGCAAGTTCCTATTCAAGACTGTCAAACTACTTACTAAGCCAACTAGTATTGATATAAATGATCAACAACAACAACAAGCATTTATCCCATTACATGGGATCAACTACATTAATTATTTTTCTCCATTATGCCCAGGAAGAATATCCAAATGACCCTTTTCAACAAATATACTACATTAAAAAAGAATTTTAGTTGTTGTCAGATAAAATGGAGAACTTAGATTAAAGACAGTGAACCAGCTTTCCTAACCCATTTGAAAGAGAAATGGAAATAACTGTTATTCCTTTCATTTTGTATGATACAGTCATACAATTCAGTCAATCTTTATTTATTTTTTCTTTTTTTCTTTTGAGTTTCTGAACCAAGTGCCTTTCTTAACTCAAACTCTGAAATTAGATCGAAAATTCATAAATTACATGAGCTTTTTGAAGATGTCTTTGATATTTAGGGCTATGGTTTCAAACAAGCAAGAAAATGAGAGAAATAATATGACATATTAGGCTATACAATTGAGTTCATATTCCTAGGTTTCAATGATTATGCAATGTAACATTGAATGCCTAAAATAAAAGTTTACCTTTCATTTGATAGAGAAATCTCATGGGCACAGCCGGACTTGATTTAACTGATAATAGCCAGGACCAAGACCTTGCCATTATTTATTGCCTGAGGCCACATGAAAGTTGTATTAATATTTAATATAAAGTTAATCTGTTCATGGCCACTCCATAAATCCCTTATCCATAATTGTCAAATCAAGGAAGAAACACACATGTGAAGTTTGAATTTCTCTTTATTTCTTCCACAAAAATCAAATTTATCACAAGAAGCTATCTTCATATTAGGAACCCTTTCTCCTGGAATTTTTCATCAGATTTCTGATCAATCAAGAGAAAGAAAACGCTTAAATAACACAAATCTTTCTAAAAGCAATCCTCTGCAGGTTAGCATTCTATCTTAAATATCATTTCAACCCATAGGAAATCATGGATTGATTTCCAGTTGCATTATGCTAAAGATAAAAGAAGTAAAATCATGATATACAGAACTATAGGTTTCACTTTATAAGGAAAACTGTTTTAACAACATAATGTTATGTGCATAGAACCCTAATAATTTCGCTACAACACGGCCAAAGAAAAATAAAACATTCGCATGGAAAATTACATTGTAGATATACTGTAAAACAAGTTTGAAAGTTGAGCCTATTTGTTTTGAGAACCTTTGGAAAATGCCAATTCACAGGCCAATGCAATATGGTCACTTCCCCATTTCTGCAAGAGTAAAGAATTAGAAATGCAATTTTAATAGCAAGCATTACCAATAATTTTTCTGATATAATTCCTAGAATTTCACCAATATTTTAGAAAAGGATGATTTACATACATAGCAATCCAAAAAACTAGGTTTAACATATTTAATATCTAAACTTCACACTATTATATGATCTAACACTCTATTAATGGTTCTCACTAAACACTTGATAGACACAAAGGGGAAAGAGATGGACTGCCTTTGCTGGCCAAGCTCTCTAAATGGTGGCTTGTTGAATTGGGCAGCAGCAGCAGCTGGAGGAATGATTATGACAGAGGCAATGGCTGCGAGGTGTGAATAAAGAAGAAAAATTCACAATTGGAGATTCAAGGGACTAGCGATGTGCAAAGGGTGATGAGACTGGCGGCAAATAGGAGCAAGTGAAGGGCAATGGCTGGCTGCATGTGAAGAGTGTCGGTACCGGCGGCGAAGGGTTAATGGTAGCATGATCGAGCAGTGCCAATATGAAATGGCAAGGGGAAGTGTTATTTTTTATTTTATTTAGATGTTAAGTGATATGTATGTAAACAATGAAGTTTATGTGTTAAATATGTAAAACTTAATATTTTGATAACAATCTATGTAAAACCCATTTTAGAGAAATGGAGAAGGAGAATGCAACCTGTGTTGGAAATCCAGGAGTCCTCTGCAAGACATGCCTCGGAATTGTGTCAAGCACTTTAACAGTCTGAAGTTCTTCAGAACACCTGAAATTTCCATCAAGAGTGTTTCAAATGCTTTGAATCATGTCAGAGATGGATAACAATAACACGGGATCACAAATAACGAAGAGCCTACATAATTATACTAGGATAAGCACAAAATAAATTTATCTGAACTATTTTCATGGATAGGAAATTATTCATAAGTTTATTATTAAAGTAAAACTATTTTGGATTAATATTAATTCAAAATTTGAGTCTGATTTAGATTTAAATTTCTACTTAAACACAAGTAAATAGAAGAAGGAAAGGAGCCATGCTTGTGAGCAAGCCAAGAAAAATTCCTTCTATTTTGCGAAGCAAAAAACGGCATGGAAATTAGAGGGAGAGAAACTCAGATATTTGCGATTATGTAGAGGAAATTCAAATGCATGGCTGCTGGAGAAATTTACAATAGTAGAAAAAAGAGAGACGAGAGAAAAAAAATAAAATTAAAAGAGAAGAATTTTTTTTGCCTTGTTTATTTGTGACCATGTTGAATTAGTTTGATACAATTAAAGTGGTGTGGTGCAATTATAAAGGTGTCAGGAAGTGAGTAGCTGTTGTTCTGAGGAGCATTCAAGTGAACGTGTCTACTATAATTTAATTCTTTTGCATGTATCCTCGCTCATCTATCTTGTAAGATTCTCTGATTTGTTTGGCTTGAGAGAATTGAGGGTCTCTCTTTTTTTGGTGAGATTGGGTGTACTTGAGTTGGAAAAGAACATTTTCTTGTTCCCTTTTTATTTGTACACCTGTGCACTTTTTGTTAGTGAATCGAATCATCTCCTCTCCTATGGACATAATAAATTATTTTAACAAAAAAAAAATCTTTATATCTTCTTTTAGTATTTAATCTCTTTATTATTACCTTATGTGTTCATCATACTCATTCCCGCAAGATGCTCACACAAAAGGCATTTTTTTTTCCTATCGAGAGAGCATATTGCCATTCTTCTATAAAGCATACAATAGCAAAATAATTATGGGCTATAACAATTCTAGGGGAATATATATATATATATATATATATAAGCATGATCACCAGTAAATCAACATGGTTGTTTAAGCTTTCATGCCTTAGAGAGGAACATAGGGGGATGATTCTTTTTGTCAACAGGAGATGAAAATGCAGCTGAGGAGAGAAAAGTTTGGTGGAATAAACGGAATAGCTTTAAATTCAAATAATAATAAGAACATCTAATAAAAAGCATTGAAATCCCAATTTATAGAAATAAAGTTACATAAGAAAATCAAACCAATCAAAATCTAAGTTCGCTAAAGTCCTAAAAATAGATGAATCTAATCATCTAATTTAAAAATAAGATAATTCTAAAATCAAATATTTAAAATGAAATAAAATAATTGAAAATAATCCAAAAATATGAGAATAATTTTAAAAAAAAGCTATAATATTCTTGATGCGTGCCTTGTTTGTCATTTGTGTGTGCATACTCCTGCATGTTGGGTACCTTAAATATTTGGGCGGGGAATTCAGCTTGTTGGTATTCCTTCTTATTGTGGAAACTATCTTCATATCTAATCATCTTTACAAGCCCATAAGTTATAAGAATAAGAATCTTATAGGCCCCTCCAAAAAAGAATTTAGAGGTTTCAATCGATTAAGTAGGTGATTATCTTCTTCACTATAGGCACTGGATTCTATCACTTCAATATCATCATTTCAATTCTGTATACTATTCTTGAACCTCAACATGCATCCATTAACTTTATGGTTCTTTCAAATTTGGCACAGCCCCAGCATCCTCTACCTTGCAGTTGTTTAAAAACTTAAAATCTCGTTGTAGCACGAGAAAGCAAGAAGCATACTATTCATTGCAATTACAGTTTTCCAAGCAAGCAACTTTTAGGGTTCTTTGCAGTGAGATGAATAATACAAAAAAGCATTACAAAAATTGTCCATTTAACTAATCTATCCCACTTACAGAAATTAATGACACAAGAAAAGAACGAATCCAAATAATCAGCAGCTTATATTGTAAAAAAAGATTAAATTTCAAAATAGTCCTCAAACTATTCTTAGGCAGAAAATTTACTCCCAGTTTATCACATTTTTTTAATTTAGTTTCTTGGCTATACAAAATTGATCCAAAATATTCCCTCAAAGAATAAATTGGGATCAATTTTGTATAGTTGATTGGCTAAATTGAAATTAGTTTTGCATCATAATTTCTATATGATGGACCATTTAGATCAATTCTTTATAGTGGAGGGACAAAATTGGAGAAACGTGATATTTTGGGACTAAATTGGTCATATGTGAATAATAATGTGACTTTTGATATTTTATTTTATTGAAAATAATAATAACATCATCAATACCATTATCTCACTTAATGGGGATAAGGGTAATAGAATAAATAAGAAAAATGTGCAAAATCATTTATCAAAAATTAGGTTAGGGTACAAATAACTATGTGCAGAAATGGTATTGTGATAACGTGATTACCTGGTCAGATCCCAACATCAACACATGATATATTTCTAGTGGTGTATATTTGCATATAAAATTACACAACTAAAGAAAATTGACTTCACCTACACTGGTAACTTCACGATAACCACCGCTCATCCTTATCCCAAATTGATAATATAACTAATAAAAATTCTCAGTTGCATAAGGTATATGGTGCAAAATGAATTTCTTCTCCTAGTTAGCTAGGATAAGGTAGACTACAATGATGCTCCTAATGTCATGATAGACAATTTAACCAAAAGAGATTGATGAATGAAATCAAACAGAATTAATAGCCAATAAATTGCATGTCATCATCTAATTTCTAAGAAAAGAATATTAATGGCCACATAAAGTCTATAACTTGATAGTAGCTTTTTTTAATTAATTTAAGATAATAAAGATAAATCTTAAATTAAATTTTGAAAGGTCAGAATACAATTATGAGGTCTTATTAACTGGTAAAATTTCAATTCTATATAAAAAAATATCTGCAAATTAGCATCAAATCAGACATCTCAACTGAGTTCAGGAACTTATTCGTCATTGCAAATATCTGAACTGGGTTTTGAAAGTAGTTCATTATATTCTTACCAATGTAACTGTCCCCAAAACAAGGAATCTCGCTTCATTTTTTTTAAGCTTTATTTAGACGATTTCTACTGACAGAAGAAGTATAAAAGTTAGACGACAAACCATATGTAGTCAACTGTGCCCATAAATTGCTGATTGTAACTAGTTACTTGAGGCTCTCTGCTTGAGTCTTTTGTCCCAGCATAATCCTGAGAGAAGAAAATAAACAGACTAAACAAACGGATAGCAGAACAAATAATATAATCATAACAGCCAGTATAACTGTATTGAAATTATCTTAATGCATAATAATAATAATAATATAATAATAATAATAATAATAATAATAATAATAATAATAATAATAATGTTGCGGGAATGCGGGCTAGAATATACGCAGCGATAGAGTTAAAATACTTTCGTCTTAGCATTGTACGAATATTCAACACACAAACAAGAAAGGAAAATAAACACCAGGATTTTTACGTGGAAAACTCTAAAAAGGGGAAAAACCATGGGGCTGCGCCCAATTGAAGTAATTCCACTAGTGTTTGTTTGAAGTACAAAGGCTGATTCGTCCCACAAGTTAGCATGATCAGATTACAAAAAGTTTCTTCTGAATTGAAATTCAGTTACAAAGTTATGCAGAATTCCGGCGTCTCCAGAATATCCGGTAGAATTCCGGCGTATTCAGGCAGCGGAAAGAACTCTGGTATCACTTGGGCAGAGTTTCGACGTCCGGGGGGAACTCTGTCGTTAATTGGGAAGAATTTCAGCATCCCGTGGAAGTTGTGTAGAATTCTGGCATCTCGTGGAAGTCGGGTAGAATTCTGGCGTCATTTGAAGTTCGGGCAGAACTTCGGCGGTGGTCGAGGAGTTTTTTCCCTCCTAATCTTCTTTCTTCTCCTCTTTTTGGTCTCTTCTTCTTCTCTTCTCTTTGCTTGAGTCCCCTCTTGTGAATAATGAGGGCTCTATTTATAGTTTTTTTGGAGTGGCATAGCTCGTAAATAGGCATGAGATCAGGGGCAAATATGGAGTGGTTGAATGGACGACTGATATTGAATCCTTAGATCATGCACCATTCGTTGGATATTTGAAGGCTTTAGTGATGTCGGAATTCGGCGATCTTGGGCTCGTTGGATTCGTCCCGTCGAGCCGCTCAATTCGACTATAAGCTCGTTAAAATCGGAGACCATTTGGTAACTCAAATTGTAGTACGAGCTTCCCAACAGCACTTCAGGCGCTTGATTTGTGCTTATTTGGGCTTGGATTGAGTTAAATTTGATGTCGTTGGGTTCATATTTCCAAGAAGCTCAGTTTGACTATAAGTTCGCTGAAAACAGAGTTCAAATGCTTCCGAATTTATTTTTTGAAGTTTCCAGGTTGGTTTTGCCTTGAAATTCGTGCCCGATCAAGATAATTTTATGATGACGTATCAGTTGCCCCCCTACTTTCGGACGTTGAAGCTCCAAGAGTCAAAAAATAGATGCATCGACAATTTGCATTAGCCGAACCACAAAAAATTGTGTTCCAAAAATTAAATGCTTGCTCAAACTTGATTGTAGAGGCCCCGTTGAGCTCCAAAAGTGTCAAAATTGAGTTCAGAACGTCGAAAAACGTGTCCGGGAACCAAAAAAAGTCAGATTCGGACCGTCCGGGCCGAAAATCGGGCCCGAACAAAGTTAGGCAGCCAAATCGGCCAGCTGTTAGCCGCCGCGCGCCGACGGCGGCGGCACGCGCGAAATGGCGCGTTCCACGCTGGACTGCGTGGTTAAGCCGAATTTTCATTTTTTTTTAATTTCCGTGGGGCCCACATGAGTCGAAAAATTCAGAAAAATTCCTAAAAAATTCCAGAAAATTCGAGAAAAATTCAAAAAAAATCAAAATTTTTGAAAATTCCAGAGAACTCTAGAAACTTCCCCCTTCTCCCAAAAAAGACTATAAATAGACCCCCAAGGCCAAGAGAAAAACTGCACCTTCTCTTTCAGAAGGCAGATTGGATTGTGAATAAGGCACTACCCAGAGATTTCACCCTCATTTTATGAGGACTTTAGATCTGAGTTCAGGTTTCCTATAAGGGCAAGACCCTATAATTAATTACCTCTCCCAATAAGAAGAGAGAACTTTAGATTAAGTCTAGTCGTCAAACAAATACAAAGTATCTAGCGTATGGTAGTAGCATGGGTTCAATTTGAAAGTTTAATATTTAAAATTAGAAATTCACCACATTGCACTTAAAGCAGATGGTGAGGAAATGATGATGAGCCCAATCAAGATCCCATGGTTTTGTCATCCTAGGCCATCGTGGTACTTGGCTACTTAGTCAGAGGAGGTAGTTAACCCAACCTAACAAAAAGTTCCTTATCGGCAGCCATGAGTTGTTTCGTCTAAGGGTACATTGTAGACCTCGGATGAGTATTTATTTAAAGGGATAAATTTGAACCGGCCATAACTAACAGAGGGCTTTGTGCCCTATTGATTATATCATATTGATTCATATCTCAAGAATTTAAAGTCATTGGGGAGTATGTGGGCTATGACCGTAACCGTAAAGGGTCGCGATCGTAATCGTTGGCCACCATCTAGCCAAACCGCTGATTAGAGGACCAATGTTACATCCTTACTGGCAAGAGATTATTTGAGAATGATCATAATAAAATTCTTGACCAGACACTAGTTCTTTGTGAGCTGAAGTGTATTTTCAAACTTGTCCACCTCGATAAATTGTTGTAGAGGATGCATGGATTATGCTTTAAGCAGCTGATGACTTATTTCAATTTTAAATATATCAGGTTTTGATATTTTCTTGGGGTTTTGAATTTTGTGGGCTTTTAGGAGGCATTTTTAAGTGTTTGTTATCCCATCTGGTTGAGATAAACATTCAATATGGCCATCATCGGAGTATTCACGGGCAATTGTATTTTATTGAATGAACTCTGTCAACTCTATTTGCTTACCAACATAGAATCAGGCTTATTGTAAGCTTTATACCTTTATTTAGTGAATTTACTAGTTATTGGCCTTGAAAGCCCAATCTGAACATATTAAAATAAATATCTCGGTTGACATCATGACCGCATATTTGTTTGATAGTTCGAGCTGAGTCAACTCTTATCTACTCACATAAAATGATCGGGCACAAACTTAGATTTATTATTTGACCCACGCACTATCCTCATACATTACACGTGTACATTTTTCATCCCATGTTTCTTGAAAATTAAAATGTTGATGCATCTAGAATTTGAAAAATAAAGCAATCCTAAGAGTATAATGGAGTAATTAACAGTCATCACAAGAGCACATAAGACCAAGTAAAAAATAAAAAAAGATTAATCCAGAAGCATGCAACAAGAATAAATTGAGGATATATTGATTTAAACAACTATGATGATGCAAACATTAAATAAGTTGCTTAAGTGGTGTGAAATCAACCCAATAAGACAAAAGAGGTACACAAAGGAATTCACTACCTTTTCTCGCTATTCTCCTTATGGTTGACTCTTAATAAAATAATAATAATATTTTCTATTATTTTAAAGGTAGGTGTCAACCCATTATCCAAGGAATCTTTTAGCAATATTATGTTAGAGTGGTTAGAAATAAAGGATAAATTTGAGGAAAAGTAGGTGATTATCTTGCAATGAGGAGATTCCCTCTTTTCATGCTAGAACGCATGAAAGTTTCCATTTTTAATGCATATAATTAAGTGATGCTGTTGAATAAGTTTAGCCGACCCCACGTATTGGGATAAAGGCTTGATGTTGTTGTTGTATAATTAAGTGATGCTAACAAATCATGCATAAAAATAAGTTTTGATTTATTTTTTTAATTAGCTATATTTTAAATTTCATTGAACTACTTTGAGTCTATAAGTAAAATCAATGTATTTAATATCTTTCATGAAAATTTGGAATAAAGCTAATATGTCGACCATACTCTCTTTCTAGCATCCATGATAGGCTCCTTTGATTTCTCTTTCTATCTCGATCACTTAATTTCTCCCTACCCATGAAATATAAGGAGGATATGAATTAATATTAAGGAGAAAAAAAGAAGAAAAGAGCTAGAGGAATGAAGGGGATGTAAAACCTGAAAAATATCGATCATCTAAGTTGCACGCATTTTGATGCGCCACGACAAAGTTAGGCAAAATTTCAAAGTCGTCGGAATTCGACATAATAAATTTTATAAAATTCTACGCAAAATTTCGATCGAAATGGTATATAGAATATATACCTAATTCTGCACGATTTTAAAATTAAAAATCGTCAAAGTTCGTTTAAGTAACTTTAACCCATTTTGCCCATTCTACCCCTCATGAAACTTTAGGGAAAAGTTAAGTAGGAGGGCACATGTGTAATTCTTCCTCAAAGTCCCCTAAATTCCTATGGGACAGAAATATTTCGGTCCCATTTATTGTTTCCTCAGTTGGCCTAACGAAAGGAGAGGGAGGCGACGGGAGAGGCGAATGACGACCCAAGGGGCGGATTTCAGCGGCCAATCATGGAGAAAATTATAGGGAATACTAAGAGAAGGTTAAGGTAAGTTGTATTTAAGAGATTTCTCATTCTTTTGTAAAGTTTTCTTTAAGGGAAAAATCTAAGGTTTGATGAAAACTTCAAATCTCATTAAGAATATGATAGAGAAGATTTAGGAGGTGGCTTTATGTATAAAAATGAGATGTTTTCCTAAAAAATTTAGATTTCAAAAATTAGGATTTTCTTCGAATTTCTTTTCCTTTCAAAATGACTTTGTAAAATGCTTCCTAATGGCATTAAAAAACTTTTATAGGAAGTTAATTTAATTTTATGATACAAGTTTTAGAAATTATGGTTTTTCCTAATCATGAAACCCTTAAGCATTATTGTTCTAATTGAACTTAGGAAAGAGTTTTAGAGGTGAAATTTAGAGTTTTTATACAAAATGTTATTTAATTGTAATTTAAATTTGGTTTAATCCAAAAATTTATAGTATTTTCTTTAAGTATAAAGTGTATGGGAGGTTCTTTAAGCATGCATTATGTAATGGACATGAAGAAGATTCCCAAAAAGTTAAGATCATGATGCAATCCAAAATTTAGAGAAATTAGGAATGAGATTAATCTTGGATTGGGAAAGGGTTCAATTAGGAAAAGTAAGAATATCGTATGGGTAGGGTCTTTATTTTCATAGTTTAGGGTTTTGAGAAGTTTATGTGGAAACAAGTGATATTTACACATTATTTTATGTTTCTTTTAGATATTGATCATGTAAATGGACAAATTCGTTAGGACATTCGACAAATCACACCGTCGTGAGGTAGGCAAAATGAAATTCTTTTAAATTTGAAAAATTCTTTAAATACAATCATGTAGAAAGTTATTTCTTTTAAATGCAACTTGTACTTTCATATGTGGCTTACCATATTCTTATATGAATGCTTTTGAACACTTGATACAAATACAAATCTATCATGTAATGATGACAGAAAGTGTAAAGCTTATGTCTCTTTTATATGTAATACATATGTCTTCTTTTACATGTAGTATATATGTGATAATATCTCTTTTCTTATGAATTATGCAATTGTGTAACCACATATGAGAACATTAGACCGTACACATGAATGACATGTTAAAATCTCTTTTATGAATAAATAAAGGATGTTTGCATGTGCATGTTTAATGCACAGTATCAATGCTAAAAGGGCTCTTTTGAGCCAATGGTAAAGGAGCTTTTTTGAGCCAAATTATAAAGAGGTTCTTTAAAACCAAATGGTAAAGGAATGACCAATTAAAAGTATACCTAATCAGTAGAAAACAAATGATACTATCACGACGGATGATTAATATTATGTTATTATGATATCATGTCATTATGTTATAGGTATATAAGAGGCATCAAATAAATCATGAATGTTTAATGAAAAACGATTGCAAGCTTATTCAAAGAAATATAACATAAAGATTGAATTAGAGGCATTTTTTATTATAGATGATGTATTATGGCATGTTGAATGTTTCTTTACTTAGAAGTATATGCATGTTGTACTCTTTTTCTTGCCTCTAAATTTAATTGAATGTTATTTTATCTACTGAGTTGTGACTCACCAAACTTATGAAATATTTTTCAGGAGAACCTGATAAGTGATAATGACGGATAGACCACCCTATACATACCGTTGTAGGGAGACGACAATGACAGATACTTTTTTGGTTTTTTTGACATTTTGTATTAGATGGATTCTGGATGACTTGTAATAGGAAGATTTATGAATATCCATTATGAATTAAACTTTTATGTTTATGTTGATATTTTGAATGATAGAGGAAAAGAAATAAATTTTTTTTTACTTAGTGGCTCTTTCTATAGGCATTGGAGACACTTTGGTTATGTTATGTGAATGTTTTAGCTTTTATCGCCTGACTTTCGTTCCCTCCTCTGCGAGTTTACCAGGTCGGGTCGTGACAGAGGAAGTAGAAGAGGGAAAAAAAGTAAAGCAAGCCATCATCCACATAAAGTATACCTTCTAGTTTTATCTAATCTACTTGTTCCCAGTATCTCTTAATCTCCTATTAAACAACATACCCTATTCATATTTATCATTATCACTAACCTTACAATAACAACAAGCCTTTATCCCACTGTGGGGTCGACTAAATGAATAATTTTTCTCCATTGTGTTTTATTAAGAGTCAAATTCTCATTTAAATTTAATAAAAAAAGATCATTTTTAATACTTTATAACCAAATATTTTAGGTCTACCTCTACCTTTCTTAACATAAGTCAATTTTAATACATCTACTCTCCTACCAAGGTCATCATTGGAAGATCAATATTTTATGTGACCAAACCATCTAATGCAACTCTCTATAATCTTATCTGCCACTAGCGCTACTCCAACTTTTTCAAGTATATACTCATTACATATTTTATCTCTAAGTGTAAAGTCACTCATCCACCTGAGCCTCACCTCTAAAACACTTAACTTAATTTTATCTTCTATTTTAATAGCCAACATTTTGCACTATAAAGCATTGTAGGTCTCACCACCATCACATAAAATTTCCCTTAAGTTTGAGGGGTACTTTTCAATCACACAACAAGCCCGATGCATTCCTCTACTTCAACCATCCAACTTAATTCTACTAATAACATCCCTATCTATTTCAACATCGCTTTAAACAATAGAATTGAGATATCTAAAGCATGCATCTATTTTAATGACTTAATCATTATCGTTACCTTAATCGAGCCTTTAAGGACGCCAAATTTTGATTGGTCATATCAATCTGAGTCCACAGCCCAAAAGGCCTGCCTAATGATCCATTGTTTGGCATTATTTGGCCAATGAATCTACCACTAAGCTATATCCCCGTTAGCATCCAAGGTTAGGTGAAGGGCTGTCAATAACCCCATCTCAATCAAGGATCAATGCAAAACAAGATTTCAGTTTAGAAAAATATTCTGAACCTGAAATAGCAAGCATCCAGAATAGCAAATTCCATCAATCAGCATAATAACGTAAGGGAATGCTAATATTATATAAAACAAAAAATAACTCAGTGAAATAGAACTGAGAGAAAGCAAGGTCGTCTAGAAGCTTGATGGACTTTCAACATCAATAGGTTAACCACACTATTTCTTCTAAATGAAACAAGTCCACAACGGTGGAAAGACGCCGCCTCAATGGAAAGAATCATGCCTGAAATCTTTGTAGAGTTTACAGATTAGGTTCTTCAGGACCTAGGAATAATGGGCGTTATTAGTGCCGTGATACAGTCAAAGCCATTAGGATGCTTGTCATCCGGACCACTCGTTTAGGAAATCAAGGGAGCTCATTTCTTTGGTCAATGACAGCTTTATCAATTTGTTATAACCTGCTTCAACTCTTTGGACGTACTTATTGAAATTAAACATGGGGATTGGTCCACCAAGAAAACTTCTCAACAATTTGGCAATGGTTTCATCATTTTATGTTCTACAACTAGCCCTCTAACAATGAAATTTGCTATTTATGAACTGAATACAAGTATAACTTTCATTAAAAGTGAGGCAGGATAATACAGTACTGACATTATATGAAATGTTGTAAAACAGATGAGTTTACACCAAACCATTATTATTTTGTACCTACGAAGTAGGCATCAATTGATGACTTGTTTACAAAACCTGATCTTATTTAATATCTAAAATATATGCATAACTATTATAAAACATAATTTTGTATTGATAATGTATCAAAGACAAAGAAGTTATGTAGCTACAACCTCAACATCTGTGTAAACGCTCCTTAGCTTCCAAGGATGTTCAACAATTGTGCATTTTTCCTTTCCTGATGCAATCTCCATTTCCATTGGGCTCCACCAGTAAGGGTTATAAAATCGCCTCTCTACATTAGAAACAGCACTAGCTAGAGGAAAGGATGAATTTTCCTGAAGCTCTGCATTTGATGAATTAACATCTTTCAAAGTTTGATTATCATCTTCCACACCGAGAAGCTCCTTAAAAAAATTGGAATCTGCATTCTCCTCCATGCCAAACAGCTCAGGAGACTGGCTGACTTCATTTTCCTCTAAACCAGGCAGCTTAGAAGACTGGCTGTTTTTAGTTGAGGTTGCATCTTCACTTAAATTACCAAAAAGAACAGGTATTTCTTCAAGGATCTTGTCTGAGGAAACCTTTTTACAATGCCCACAAGAATCCATATTGCCCATTATTTTATCATCCTCAATACAAGATATAATACTCATTCTATCACTCACATGTGAGCCATCAAAATTGTATACATCCAGCTTATTGTCTTCACCAGAATAATGGCAGGTAATAATAGAGCCAGCCTTCTCTGTAACTGCTGAACCAGTTATGGAATTCTCTTTGTTCTCTACCATGTGCGCTTCTAGAATTGCACAAGAAGTGCAAGATTTCTCTTCAGATAAAGTATCTACCTTACTAGAATCCACGGTAGAGAAATCTTCTTTATAGCTACAAAAAGGTGGAGGATTACCATTAGTGTTTCTGTCCATCTGAAAGCTATGGCTTACACTGTTGTGTATGGGTGCTGCAGTTGAATTATCCATGTTTGATGTAGAAGTCTGTTTTATTTCATTTGCCAAATCAGCACATCCTCGAGAAACCTTGTGGTCAGAACAAGATTCATGCAAAATATGAACCTCTTCGCTATTCTTGCCAGCATCTATATTATCATGTTGGCTGCAAATTTCTGATGTTCTACCGTGCATATTTGCAAGCTCCGGATATGTTGAACTTACTTCAACTTCTGTTCCCCCCAATTTTATGGTTGTAGCACCAGGTGAAATCTGCCCATGAGCCTTTTGTTCTACATCTTGATACGATATCATAGAAGCTTTCTCAGTTGGAGAGGAATTTCTCATGTTATATTGACTGTCTAATCTGGTTTTGCAATAACTTTCCTGAGCACCAAATGTACTTTGACTAGCATAACGGCCGAAAGTCTGAGGTCTGACAAACATAATAAAATTATAAGCAGAAAATTTCCAATTTTTTGGAAGTTTAACCATATTCTGGAAGGTACAAGTTATCTATATTAACTTTTCTGAAATATTACGTTAATTAAAGACGAACTTTATAAGACAGAAATCATGCGTACCTATATAAACTGTAATAAGATTTAGGCCTACTCTGTAATGTAGCAGAATATTGTCCTGATATGTGGTCCCGTGCTAGACCCGACAAATTTAACTACAAATAATAAAGAAGAAAATAATTATAATACTCCAAATTTGTGCATAATTTTTTATGCCAAATTATATCCAAGATGCCAACTGTTATAAAAGAATTAATTTTTTATTAATTACATTTTACTTGTCAAATTGAGCAAATTGATATATAAAAATATATTATTGGCTCAAGAAAAATGGCACGAATGCATGAATCTCACTTTGCAGTTGTAGAATTCCATTTTCCTTGGATCAGATTGTATTTAATCAGATTTCTCCTGAAGGTAGTATCAGGGTTTAATTAGATTTGAGGTTCTTACTTCCTATGAACGCAAGCACTCATAGTTAATTGCTCCTCTTAACACGTATGAGAGAACTCTCGATTAATGATGAATAATTTTTAGATATTATAATCTCAATTATGAGAAAAATTGAGGTAAACCCGATCAAGATCTCACGGTTCCATCATCCAAGTTATACCGTAGGTACCAACACTAACAATTATTAACCGTAGTGTCTAAAAAATCTGCTTAGCAGCCATGAGTTGCCTCCTCTCAGGGATCCCGAGTAGACTGAGATAGTTAGATATGAGTTTTAATTTTATTTGGGTTTTGGGGTTTACATCTATTAGAATACCAAGAAGTTGGTTTGATTTGAGGTTTATGAATTCATTTAGAAGTTACCCATAAGATTGAATTGAAGCGGATCTTACGGTTTCCCTTGAAAGTCGCCCAAATGTTTGAATTTGGGTCAGAACTTACGGCTTTCATTGAAAATAGCCCGGGTGTTTGAATTTGGGTTGGGACTTACGAATTTCATTGAAAATAGCCCGGGTGTTTGAATTTGGGCCGGGACTTATTGCTTTCATTGAAAGTAGCCCGTAAAATGGGTCTTATAACTAAGCTCTAAGTAAGGCTGGCCATTAATTTTGAATTTGGTTTACAAGTCTTATGACTCTCTTAGAAGTTGCCTATAAATTTGATTTGATTGATTGTTTGTTTGTGTAGGTCTTATAGCTTTCTTTTGGAAGTTGTCTAAAAGTGAGTTTTACAACCTAATCCTTTAGATTAAGAAGTCCGTTAATTTGAATTTGATTGATTGTTTGTTTGTGTGGACATTAGTGTTTTTGCTTCAGTAATTTGTTTACTAGTTGACACTTACTAGCTAGTAGTTATCGTTGTGTCACACTAGTGTTTTCGCTACAATAGTTTCATTTTTTTCAGTATTGTGTATTGTACTAGTAGTTACTTTACCAGTAGCACACTCTTTTTTCTGTTTTAGCATTTATTTAATTTCAATGTTTGATTGATTTTATTTGCTTATTTGAGCTCGTGCCGACTCAGAGTTTGCATAGGAGAGTACAAAGTTAGTACAGGTGTTAGGTTCTTTTGGGTTTGTTGAAATTGTTGTGTTGTTTGTTGCGTATTGAGTTTTTGTTTAGAGTTTGGAAACCAGTGTTTGTTGAGTTTATGTTAAGTTGAGAGTTGTCTCTACAGGATTTTGAGAGTTAGTTGAGTTGAGAGTTATTTGTATAGAGTATGAAAAATTGGTTGAGTTGAAAGTTGTGTTTGTTAAGAGTTTAGGATTTGTAAAGAAATGTTGTATATATTGATTATGGAACTCCTCCCATCTTTTTATTGCATTTTATTTTATAATTGCTCAACTGATCAATTAATTAATTAACAAATTAGTCAATTTTAATTTTAATACTCTCAAATTTTAAATAATAGCTCTTCAATTTAAATTATTCTCAAATTTTAAATTGCTCCTGAATTTTTAAATTAACAAATCAAATTTCATTAATGAATTTTGATTAATTAATCAATTTTTAATTATCTTTTTTGATTAATTAATTCTATAAGTTAATTGATTTTGATGAATTTATTTTAATTGATTAATTTTAATTAATCAATTAAATTTAATTAAGCAATTAATATTAATAAATTTGTTTCAATTAATTAATTCTAATGAATTAATTAATTGAAATTAAGTTTCAATTGATTAACTTTTCATTAATTAATTTAAACAATTTATCAAATTTTAATTACAATTTCATTTTAATTAATTAAGTTTAATTAAATCAATTGATTAATTAATCAAATAAATCAATTAAAATTTTAGTTTAATCGCTCTCCAATTAAGTGATTTTTGAAGTGATATCAATAGCCACCCGACATCCACTCCTCTTATGGGAGTTCGGGCGGCAATTACAGTTATTTTCTTTCCGGCCGGACCTAAGGCCGACAATGCAATACCTTAAATTTAAAACCATCTCGGTCAGACTTAAGGTTGATGACGTGAGGTCTTCACTATCATCTCAGCAGGATATAATATCGACGAAGTGTAAGAGATTCACTTGAAATTCTTCCCGACCAACTTTAAAATCGAGGTTGCGAGGTCTCGAATTTGACACCATCTGGGTCGGATTTTAAATCAACGGCACGAGATCTTGATTTGAAAACATACTATATTAAATGTGCACCAATCAGGGAAGAGAAAGTAATAATTTGGTTACTCTTATTAGGAGTTCACATGAAATAGTGACAGGTAGGGTTCACACGACAGAGGCGTGATCAGGTGAATTGCTTGGTCTGGGAGTGCAGTGTCGAACGTGGAAGTAAGTGGTCAGCTCACATGTGAGAGGTGGAAGGATTTACCTATGGACGAGAGACGAAGCCTGTATAGGAGTTCGGTCGAGTGGGAGTCAAAGATGGCAGACCCGTGCGAGATTTGGTCCAACAGTACAGAGGCGGTCTGACGTAGGTTTTGTAACCGGACAAACCACGTGGGAGGCAGAAACAAGCTAGGTATGCAGTTGAAGGCCGATGGTAGGGAAGATGTGGGTTTTCGACTTGGGGCGGGACGACTCAGATGCGTGTAGTGTTTGGGCTTCAGTCGAAAGGAGGCAGAAATATTGCGACTCTTAGACTTGTTGAACTTAAAAAATTTTAAAGGTTCGACCCTTAGGCTTGTTGAACCTGTGGATTTTATTTTTAAACCTTCTAGGTAAGTTGATAAAATTATAGTTCGACCTTTAGGTTTGTAAGTGTTGAAGATTTTGAAGGTTCGATTCTTAGGCTTATTGAACAAATGGATTTTAGCTCGACCCTCAATTTTGTGAACATAAAAAATTTTGAAGGTTCGACCCTTGGGCTTATTGAATCAATGGATTTTAGCTCGACCTTAGATTTGTGAGCATAAATTGTTTTCCTTTCTTGCAGATGTATATATAGCAAACATCTTCCATTTCGCAGGAGTTATAAGATTGCCACTTGTATTTCAGGAGGTAATTGAATTTATCTCCCGCCTTGCAGGTGAATATAAAAATTGTTTCCTGTTTTTCAATAGATAATTGAATTTATCTATTGCCTTGCAGGAGAATATAAAAATTGTCTCCTATTTTTACAGAAGGAGATTAAAATTTGCCTCCTACTTTGCAGAATGATTTTTTCATACATAACATCTTTTTAGTTAAATAGTTATGTGTGACATTTTTTCATATATTGATCAGTTATTGGTGGCATGGGCCTTTGACATTTTAGGTCTAAGAGTTGATAGCTCCTCCTTCATACGCTATTTCAATGATGAAGGATTCTTCTCAGATTGGGTCAAATTTGCCACAAAGCAATGGTAAGAGATTATAAGTCTTCAGAAAACATAAACAAGTTCAACCTCTTTGAAGTTTCTAGGACGAACAATTCGATCATGGGCACTAATCATTCTTGTTTTGTAGGATTCTAGACTTTGCTGTGCTTGAAGTCGAACTTCATAAAGAGCTTCAATTTCTTTAAGTCATAGAAGATCATTTTCTTCTCTAGTTAATTCGTATCGAATAACAATACGAAGAGCCGACAACTCAACCTCGAGAAGTAATTTTGCCTCAGTTCCGAAAATCAATAAATATGGGGTGGCTTACATTGTAGTTTAATAAGTTGTACGATATGCCCACAAGGCTTCTATCAATTTATCGTGTTATTCTCTCTTATTTTTAGATAGAATTTTTTTTTAGCAATTTTATCAAAGTTTTATAAAAAGCTTCAGCTAAATCATTGGCTCTTGGATTACATATTGAAGAATAATGCCAATCTATTTAATGTCTATCGATAAATTTGTAGATTTTAACACTTTTAAAGGTCGTAATATTGTCAGATATAACTCGACGTGGTACTCTAAATCGATAGACAATGTTATCTCGAAAGAATTTCAACACATAATTTGCTTTAACTTTTCTCAAGGGAATTACTTCAGCCCATTTTGAGAAGTAGTCAGTGGAAGCAAGGATGAATTGATGTCCAAAAGAAGATGGTGATTCTATAGGACCTATTATATAGATAACCCAATTTTTAAATGACCATGACGCTATTGTATAATACCCACATGCACTTGACATTGATGGCATTTTTAGCATGATCATTGTAATCCTGAACCATACTTGGTTAATAGTATCTCATACGTTCAATGTTGATTTTCATTTTCGGTTCAGATTGATGTACACCACAAAATCCTTCGTGAACTTTACTCATGACTTTTTGGGATTAATCAAGACCCAAACATCATAGCCACATTTGATTAAATGATCTATGATATAATGATTCATTCACGAAAGAATATCTTAATACCCTTCGTAATATTTGCGAAGCCATAAATTTATTTTTGGGCAATCTCACTTCCTTGAAGTATCTGATGAATGTATCTCTCCAATTATTTTTATCAGATATCGCTAGACTTTCTTTCTTTTCTTTCCCTTCATCATCTTGTATGACAACTGGAGTTAATGCATGCCTATTTTAAATTGTTATGAGAATTGAATCCTCCTATGGATTTGCTAATTTTTTTGTTAGAGTTGCCAGCATATCAGCTTTGTTATTTTCACTGCGTGTAATTCTAATGGGTTATTTCAGGAATTTATTGTAGGAGTTCAGAGCACATTCATGATATGAGATTAATTCAGATTTATTGATTTTGGAAGCGCCTATTATTTGTTTGATTTTGAGTTAAGAATCTTCATGTATATGGAGTTTC